TCCCGTTGTGCTGTCCCCTCCCGGTGTCCCGTTCTGCTGTCCCCTCCCGTTGTGCTGTCCCCTCCCGGTGTCCCGTTCTGCTGTCCCCTCCCGTTCTGCTGTCCCCTCCCGGTGTCCCGTTCTGCTGTCCCTCCCCTCCCTCCGTCCGTCCCTCCCGGGGCCGTCCCGGCGCGCGGCGCCGCCCCGCGGTTGGCGGCGGTGCCGCCAGGGGGCGCGCGCGGCCGCGGCGGCGCGGGGCCCGCGCAGGGCCCGGAGGAAATGAAGGCGAGTTCCGCCGAGGCGGGAGCCATTACCCGCCGCCGGACCTGACCCCCCCTCCCGCCGCCGCCGGGGCCCCGCTCCGCGCCCCCCGCGCCCCGCACGCCCGCCCCGGCGCAGGTAAGCGCTGCCCCGGGGCCGGGGCTGCCGGCGGGCCGGGCGCGGCGGCGGGGCGGCGGCCGGTGCCTGCCCCGCGCAGCCGCCCGCGGCGGGATCCCGAATGGGGGGGGGTCCGCGGGGCAGGCCCCGGCCCGGCCGCTTTGTCCCCGGTGGGAGCGGCGCGGACAAAGCCGGGGCAGGGCAGCGCGCAGCCCCCGGGCCCGCGGCGGGCGCCCCGAGGCCGCGGGCGCCGCCGGGGTCCCGGGGATGGGGAGGGGGCCCGGGGCACGGCGGGGGCCCCGCGGGGCTGCGGGCTCTGCACCGGGGCTCGCCGGGGGTCGGTGGGTGGGCTCGGGTGGGCGCAGAGGTCTTTGCTGTGCCGCCGTGCTCCTCGCGGGAGCTCGAGGTGCGCACACCTGCCCAGGTGTGCACCATGGCCGAGGGCTTCTTCATGGCCCTGGAGCACTTGCTGCGGGCCAGGGTTTCTGATGTGGTCCCGAGTTCCTTACGAGGAGTTCGGGCTGCTCACCTGGCCGCGGTGTTTGCCACGGCCGGGCTCTTTGCCGTGGCCCCAGGGCGCTCACTGGGAGCTCCAGGTGTGCGCTGTGGCCGAGGTGTTTGCAGTGTCCACAAGGTCTTTGCTGGGAGCTTGGGGTGTTCACCATAGTCAAGGTCTTTTCTGTGGCGCCGAGCTCCTCCCTGGGCTCTTCAGGTGCTCGTCATGGCCGAGGTCTTCACCACGGCCTTGCAGCACTTGCCGTGGCCTTGGTCATTGCCCGAGTGCCAGGGTGCTCACTGCGAGCTTGAGCTGCTCACCATAGCCAAGGCCTTCCATGATGCCTTTGCCTTGGGGCTCTTACTGTGGCCGTGGGTTCCACCATGACTCCAAGGTTCTCAGCGGGCGCTTGAGGTGTTCACTGGGCTCTTGATGTTCTCACCATGGCCAAGACCCTTGCCAAGACTGCTTCTTGTCCAAGGTCTTCACCCTGGCCTTGAGGTGCTCCCTGTGGCCAAGGCCCCTGGACCTGTCCTTCAGGTCTTGGTCAGTGCTGTGGCCCCGAGGCCTCGGCTGGGAACCTGAAGTGCTCATCATGCCCAAGACTTTCCCCACCCTGGCCAGCATTTCCAGGAGCCCCTTGCCGTGGCCTTGAGGTGTCCCCATCACCCTCAGCCCGGCCCTGAGGTGCTCTGAGGCACCCTGTGATGCTGGTGCCGTGCCCGAGGCGCTCGCCACGGCCCCTCACCGCGGTGCTGACCCGCGGCACGGCCACATCCCCGCCCGCGGCCCCCGTGGCAGCTGCCGGGGGGCTCCCGGCTGCCTCTGGCTGGACAGAGCCGGGGGGCCCTCGCCGTCCCCCCGCGCTGCCACCAGCCACCGCTGCCCTTTCCTTTTCTCCCCTCCCAGGTGCCCTCGAGCCGGGCGAGGCGATGCGGTGCGCCCGTGCCGCGTGCTGTGCCGAAGCGGCTCTTTAGATCCTCCCCGGCCCAAGCCTCCCCTGCCATGGATGCCTCCGGGGCTCTTGCTTCGGCTCCCTCCTCCGCGGCTCCCTCGGGCTCCCGCAGCCCCATGTTCCCCCCAGGAGCTGACAGAGAGGAGTGGGGACCGAGGTTCAATTGTGCCCCTTCCACCTCTGCCGCAGCCTCGCAGGCGATGCCAGCGTCTGGCCGGAAGAGGAAGGCCAACTTCTCCAATGACGAGACCGAGACGCTGGTCTGGAATGTGGTCCGGCATTTCAGCGCCCTGTACGGGTCCGAGGCCCTGCGGGCTCACCCGGTGCGGCGGAAGCAGCTCTGGACCCAAATCCAAAGCCGCGTCAACTTCCTGGGCTACACCGAGCGCTCCATCGACGACCTCAAGCACAAGTGGCGCGACCTGCGGCTGGACGTCAAGAAGAAGATCACCTCCAAGAAGCACCTGCCCATGAACCGCGCCGGGGGGCCGCTCCACAAGCCGCGCCTCACGCCCCTGGAGAAGATGGTGGCTTCCACCTTCCTGCAGGCCAGCCACGACTCGGAGCCCGAGATCATCCTGGACCCAGGTCAGTGGGGGCGGCTCTGCGGGCAGAGGACGGTCGGAGCACTGGCTGCGCTCCCTGAGGGACGTCCGGCCACGTTCTCAGCTGGCTGTTGTGGATTGTGCAAAGAGACTCTGGGGTTTGTGCTGGGGTTGCAGCATCCACCAGAGTCATGGTCCTGTTGGGCCAGCCACCAGGGTAGGGAACTGCGTGTGCTGGGATTAGAAATCCTCCGTGGAAATAACCTGGGATCGGTGAGCTGTAGAAATCTCCGAGTGGTTTGAGTTGGAAGGGACATTAAAGTTTGTCCTGTTCCACCCTGTGCCATGGGCAGGGACACCTTCCACTATCCCAAGGTGCTCCAAGCTCCATCCAGCCTGGCATTGGACACTTCCAGAGATCCAGAGGCAGCGACAGCTTCTCTGGGAAAACTGTGCCAGATCAACAGGATTCATAGGAACACCTCAAGCTTTGCAGGAGTGGGTCTTTTTTGTTCTCCTTTCTTCTTTTCTTTAATTTGATGCTTTCAGCAGCCTCTCTGGTTTCACTGGCAGCATCACAGGCTCAGTCCATGTGGCCCAGACTCGGCTGTCATGTGCCAAGCACAGGGCTCTAGGCTGAAGGAAGAAATCCTGACTAATGGCATGAAGCTGTTCCAGGGGACGGTCAGGCTGGAAATCAGGGAAAGGTTCTTCCCCAGAGGGTGCTGGGCACTGCCCAGGCTCCCCAGGGAACAGTCACAGCTCCAGCCCCGCCAGAGCTCCAGGAGAGTTTGGACAATGCTCCCAGGGACGCACAGGGTGGGATTTTGGGGTGTCTGTGCAGGGCCAGGAGCTGGATCAGCGATCCCTGTGGGTCCCTCCCAGCTCAGGTTATTCCCCATCCCCATGATTCTCTGGCACTAGGGGCTGTCAGGCCCCTGGGGGCTCAGCCTGGCGCTGGGGCGGGCGAGGCCGAGCCGTGGCCTCGCGGGAGCATCTGTACCTTGGGGCCACCGTGTCCCCTCCGGCTGAGGCCGCATCCTCTGTGTCCCGCAGATCTGTTCTTCCCCGGCGCGTCCAAGCAGCCCTTCATGCACCTGCAGCCCGGCGTGAGCCACCCCAGCATCTACATCGACACCAACGGGCAGCCCTCGGCCCTGCCCGACGTGGAGGGCTCGGCCGCGCCGCGCCTGCCGGGACAGAGCCCCGACCCCGCCGGCGGCTGCGAGTACGGCCGAGGAGAGGGGCAGGGCGGCTCCGGTACGGCGGGACTGGGAGCAGGGCGGGGTGGAGATGGGCTGGGAGGTGAAGGGTCTGCGTGGAGACTGGCTGGGGACAGGGTCTGGATGGAGCTCTGATGATCTGAATGGAGAAACACTGGGTCAGGATGGGTATCTGCTGGGAAGTGTGGGATCTGGATGGAGATCCGCTGGCAGCAGGGTTTGGGTGAAGATCCAGCGGCTGTGGGGCTCTGGATGGGGATCTGCTGGGAGTGGAGTCAGCAGGGAGATCCTCTGGGTTAGCATGGAGATACTCTGGGTCAGCATGGAGATCCACTGGGTCAGCATGGAGATCTTCTGGATCAGGATGGAGATCCTCTGGGTCAGGGTGGAGATCCTCTGGGTCAGCATGGAGATCCACTGGGTCAGGATGGAGATCCACTGGGTCAGCATGGAGATCCTCTGGGTCAGCATGGAGATCCACTGGGTCAGGGTGGAGATCCTCTGGGTCAGGATGGAGATCCTCTGGGTCAGGGTGGAGATCCACTGGATCAGGATGGAGATCCTCTGGGTCAGCATGAAGATCCTCTGGGTCAGGGTGGAGATCCACTGGGATCCACGTGCCGGGGAGGGCCTGGGGCCAGGGCAGTGCTGTGGTTCACTGGAGGTTTCTCTTCTCTCCCAGCCGAGTCGGGACCGGAGCTGCGCACTCCAGACGCGTCGGCCATCTCCCCATCCCTGCGAAACGAGTCCCTGGTCTCCTACGCCTCCATGTCGGAGGAGGAGGAACGGGAAGGCCGGGAGGTGGAGAGAGGCCACGGTGGGGCCGCGGGGATGCAGCCGGGGCCTGAGGCCCCCATGTCGGCGGAGGAGGACATGAAACTGTCCCGCCAGGCCATGCTGATCCGCCGGTGCAGCTCCCAGGGCTCCGTGACCTCCCTGCCCGAGGACTCCCTCAACCCCGCGGACGCTCACTCGGACTGGGGGCACGAGGGGGTGTCCGACCTGCCCGCCCTGGGCCGCGGGCTCGACTCGGCGCATCCCGAGGAGCAGGCGGGCGGCCCGGGCCCGGAGGTGGGCACCTTGCCCAGGGTACTGATGGGGCCCAGCTGGGAGAAAGCTCCGGCGGAGGAGGAGCCCCCGGCCCGCTCGCCCCTGCACGGCGCCCTGACCGAGGAGTCGCTGCCCTCCTCTGCCTCCCCGCCCGGAGACGCCCCGGCCACCGCCGGCCCCGGCCGCGGGCTGGGCTGCTCCCGGCTGCGCGAGGACCGCCGCGAGAGCTGGAGGACTAGCATCCACCACCTGCTCGACCTGGAGGAGCAGTGGGACCAGCTGTACCACCAGGAGCTGGCCATGTGGCAGGAGGAACGGGCCACCCAGCGCGAGGAGCGGGCGCGCGACCGGGAGCTGCAGTTCCGCCTGCTCGGCGTCCTCACGGACATCCGCGACGAGCTGCGCTACCTGCGCCAGGAGCGCGCCGGCGCCCGCCAGAGCCCGGCCCCGCCGCCCCCCGAGCCCCGCCGCGACCCCAGCCCGCTCCTCGAGCAGCCCAAAGCCGAGCCCAGCTTCCCCGAGCCGCCGGCCGGGAGCGCCGGCTGGGCAGACACCGCCGTGCCCAGCCGGAGCCCCTTCGGTAACCGCGGCCGGGGCCGGCGCCGCGGGCGGCCGCGCGGCTCCGCTTCCCGACACAGACGCCTCTTCCTCGCCAACAGCTAGGGACGGCGGGAGCCGCTCCGCCACGGACACGGAGAGCCCGCGGCCGCCCCGGCGGGACGGTGAGCGGTGACGCGGGCGGCACCCGGGCGTTCCCCGCGGCAAGGGACGGAGGAGGCGGGCGGCCGGCGCTGCCCAGCGGGCTCGGAGCGCTCCGGGCCGGCGCGGGAGCGCCCCGAGGCGACGCCGCCGTGCCCGCGGGGACACGCGTGACAGCGCAGCCTGACGGCGCTAGTCCAGTAGGATTTACTACCTGTCGGGGGGTGGGAGTTAGGAACACTTAGTCGCTGACGTGCGAAGATTTTATGCAAATCATTTAATGACCTAATTTGCATATAACCATAAAACTTCTATTAAAAAAAAAAAAAAAAGCCTCCAAAAAAACTCAGAAATGATGGTTTTGCGTGTGATCTCTGTGTGGGGGTGGGAGCTGGGCCAGGGGGAGTCGTTTGTCCCGTGGCTCTGCAGCCCTGGATGGGGACAAGGCCATGGGACAGACGAGCTTCGACCCCGTTCCTTTGGGGCAGCCCAGCGCCCTGGGATCAGGGCTGGGCAGCAGCAGCTCTGCGGACCTGGAGAGGGGTGAGGGCATGCACAGCTTGGGGGGAATGTGGAGGGTGCCCTGCCCAGGAGTTTTTGGGGTCTCCAGGCAGTGAGCAGTGTCCCAAGCAAGTTCAGAGCGTGCCCAGGAATGGGCCGGGCCCAGGCAGCCTGACAGGTTACTGGAGTGTCCCGAGGGATTATCCAAGGTTCCCTGCAGTGTCCAGTGTCCCCAGGGAGTGTGGGGGTCCCTCCCATCATGCAAGACCCCTTGAGCAGTGTGCAGAGTCCCCAGGGAGTGTGCGGGGTCCCCAAGCACTGTGCAGCGTTCCCAGAGTGTGTGCAGGATTCCCAGAAATTGTCCAAGGTCCCCAGCAGCATTTGGGGTCTCCATGCAAGGTGCAGTGTCCCCAGTAATGCTTGGGGTCCCCAGGGATGTGTGGGGTTCCTGGCATCATGCAAGACCCCTGGACAGTGTGTAGGGTCCCAGGGAACGCCCAAGGTCCCCAGCAGTGTGCAGGGTCCCCAGGGAATGTCTGAGGTCCCCACGGCATGTGCAGCGTCCCCAGGGCACGCCAGCCCTGCACCCCGTCTCCTCCCTCCATCTCCAGGGTGACAGCACTGCTGAACCCTCTGTGCTGTGTCCCCTGTGCTGTCCCCTCTTCCAGCCCCCCAGCAGCCAGGGCCCCTTGACTGCCACGTCCTGGTGGGGTGGGACAGGAAGGTGCAGCCCCCAGGGAGGGGACAGTGGGACAGCAGCAGGAGCTGTGGCATTTGCAGGGGCACCCAGCTCTGGTCGTGGCCTCCCAGGAGGATGGTGACACCCAGCTTGTGGACCCTGGGGTGCCTGAGGAAGGGCCCTGGAGTCACACGGCTGTGGGGAAAGAATTGTGTGAAATAATGAAACAACTCCTATCCCCAAATCGGGGGTAGGAGGGAGCTGGGATGGGTCAAGGACAGGGGACAGGAAGGACCCAGGGGTGGGTCGGTGACACGAGTGGGGGTCTCTAGACAGCTGCACCTGCACGAGGCCACTGCAGCCGGTGACACAGGGACCTCCTGAGCCACCACACCCCTGGACCCACAGCGCTGCCATTCCCACTGCCCTGTGTCCCACCAGGTCACTCCCCCCGTCCCATCCTGCTGCCGCCGCCTTCCCCGGGACCCCGGGGACGGGGCGGGAGCGCGGCCACAGAGCACGGGGGACCCGCGGCGGGGGTGCCGAAGGCTCTGCGGCCCAGCACGACTTTATTCCGTATCGCTTCGTCCATACAAAACTACACCCCAAGCACTGTACAGCGGGACGGCGCGGGGAGGGGGGGCAGTAAAAATAAGCAGCGGGGGCGAGGGGACAGAGCGGCAGGCGGGGGTGGCGCGGGGGGACGCGGCGGGGGCTGCCCCCCACCCCGGGCGGCGACATTGTCCGTGGGGGGAGCGCTGGGGGGTGAAGTGTCCGTCCGTGGTGGGGGTCCCGGGGGCTCGTCCCCCCGCCCGGGGCTCCCCGCCTGCCCCCCGCCGCGGCCGGGCACCTCGGTTCGGTGGGAAGCTGCGTGGCCGGGGGATGTCCCGGTGCCGGGGGGTGGTCCCTAGTCGCCGGGGGGCAGGATCCCGGGCGGGGGCAGCGGCGGCGGCCCCGCCTCGGCGCCGTGGACCCGCTGGTGATCCTTGAGCGATTCCTTGTAGCGGAAGCTGCGGCCGCAGGCGGGGCACTGGTACGGGCGCTCCCCGGTGTGGATGCGCTGGTGCTTGAGCAGGTTCTGCTTGCGGATGAAGCTCTTGCCGCACTGGGCGCAGGCGAAGGGGCGCTCCCCGGTGTGCAGCCGCTGGTGGTTCTGCAGGTGTTCCTTGCGGCTGTAGCACTTGCCGCACTCGGAGCACTTGTAGGGCCGCTCGCCGCGGTGGATCATCTGGTGCCGCACCAGCCCCGAGTGGCAATTGAAGCTCTTGCCGCACTCGGCGCACGGGTAGGGCCGCTCGGCCGCGTGGCTGCGCTGGTGGATCCGCAGGCTCTTCTTGCCGCTGAAGCTCTTCCCGCACTCGGCGCAGCCGTGCGGCCGCTCCTCGGCGGGGCCCGGCGGCGCCGCGGGGCCGCCCCCGGCATCGGCCCCCGGGCCCGCCTCGGGGCCCGGAGCTTTGCCCAGTCTGTGCTGCGCCGGCAGGGCCACCGCCGCCGGCACCGCCGCCTGTCCCTCGGGGGTCCCGAAGCCCGTGCCGGGGAAGAGCAGCTCCCCGGAGCTGCCCGGCAAACCCACCTCCTCGGGGGGCTCGGCGTGGGGGCACCGCTCCTCCGTCTTCACCAGCAGCCCCTCGCTGGCTGCGGGGGACAGAGAGACCGGTCAGTCCTACCGGGGACACTGGGGATGTCCCCAAGGCACGGCTCCCCCCCGCCCCAGCCCCGCGGTGGGGATCCTCACCAGGAGCAGGGCCCGGGGGCAGCATCTCCCTCTCGGGCAGCTCCCAGGGCTCCCGGACGCAGGGCTCTTCCTCCTGCTTGATCCACGACAAGAAGTCGTGCGCGGTGATCAGGGCGTCCGCGCCTGCAGGGAGGGACAGGGACGGGGACACGGGGACAGGGACTCAGGCACGCGGGGCCACACCCTGCTCCGGGAGGCAGGGGAGGGAACGGCTCCGGCGGGGGCAGGCTCAGCGCCGGGCTCACCTGCACAGGGGTCTGGCGGCATCCCCCGCTCCTCCGGGAACTGCTGCTCCCCCACGAAGGCCACCTCCTGCTTGATCCGGGACAGGATGTCGGAGGTGGAGATCAGCGACTCTGTTCACAAGGAGAGACTTGGCCGGGGCCCGGATGGAGCCACACGTGTGACCCACGGCCACCACACCCGGGGTGTGTGACCCCTGGACTCCGGCCTCAGGGAACATCCCCATCCCACAGCAGTTATGGACATCCAACAGCCCCAGGGAGCTGGAGGGACAGGTGGCTGTGGGACAGCCCTTGGGAATGGGTGACAGAGATGGCCCACAGGGATGGATGACTGTAGGACAGCCCTTGGGAACGGGTGACACTGAGATGGCCCACGGGGATGGGTGACTGTAGGACAGCCCTTGGAAATGGGTGACACTGAGATGGCCCACAGGGATGGGTGACTGTAGGACAGCCCTTGGGAATGGGTGACACTGAGATGGCCCACGGGGATGGGTAACCCTGAGACAACCTTTGGAGACAGGCACAATCCCTGTGAACAGATGACTGTGACAGACCCCATTGGGGACAGGTGACAACAGCACGGCTGATGGGGCTGGGTGACTGTGACACAGCCCATGGGCCCTGACACAATATGGTGGCAGCAGGGGACACGTGGATCTCCCAGTGACAGATATCCAAGATCTCCAGCACAACAGTCACGGATTTTCTGGGGTCGCTCATGGCAGCTCCCAGTCACAGCTGGAGAAGTGGGCCCAGTGGGGATGGGACTGTTTGGGAGGGAGGAGGGGCATCCCTGGGGTGAGGAGGGTGGGAGAAGTGAGGTGGGGACGGTGGGGACAGTGGGGACAGTGGGGACAGTGGGGACAGTGGGGACGGGTCCTCCTGCAGTGCCTCACCCGCGCAGGTGTCCGGCGGCAGCTCCCTCTGCTCCAGCTCCCGCTGCTCGGGGACACAGGGCCCGTCCCCGCGCTCGCTGCGGGGCTGGGCCTCACTTCTGGAGATGGCCCCATCTGCCAGGGACACAGACCGGTGTCACCATGCCTGTCAGCCCCTCCCTGTCAGCCAGGCTTCGGGGGACACTCTGGGGACACACCAGGCTACCAGGACCTGGCGTTTCTCCTGGCAGAGAATGTGCCTAAATCCCACGGTGCCTCCATGCTGGAGGTAGTGTGGACACTCAGGTCCTGGGTTCTGGGGGACAAGGACCCTCTCCAGCCCCCTGCAGCACTGGCATGGCAGTGTGTCACCCTGTCCCCACGCACAGCATGAGCCATGGAGCGTTCCCTCTGCAATGGTCCCAGGACACAGCGAGTGCCACCACTGACCAGGGGCAGGGCACCAGGCCACCCACGTTGGGGACCCACTGAGGAGACAACACAGCCATCGCTCCATCCTGCCAGGAGAGGGGAGAAAGGGACATTTACCCAGGGACAGCAAAGCCTCGTAGTTCTCCTTCACCAGGTTGTTGTACAGCTCTTTCTGCCACTCCTCCAGGTTCTTCCACTCCTCCGCTGAGAAGTAGACGGCGATGTCAACAAATGTCACTGGCACCTGTGGGGACAAGAGCCCCTCGCTCAGCGGCGCCCACTCCCCAGGGAAACCGAGGGTCCCCCCCACTGCCCTGCAGCCCCCCTGGGACACTACCTTGGGGACCTCGCCCCGGGGGCCGGGGGGCAGCCGCAGCACCCAGAAGTTCCTGTTCTTCAGCAGGTTCTCCACATTCTCCAGGCGCCGCTGGAGCAGCCCGTACTCCTGGATGAGGGTGCCCAGCACGGCCCACTTGCTCTCCAGCTGGTTCCCAAATTCCATGGCCGTCTTCTCGCAGTCCAGCAGCTTCTTCTCGGCCGTGCCAGAGCGGCCCTCCAGGCTGAGCAGGCGCGTGGCCAGGAGGTCGATCTTCCTCTCCATGGCCTGCACCGTGGCCACCACGGTCCAGAGCGAGGCCTCGGCGGAGTGGAGCTGCGCCTCCCGCACGTGCGCGCGCTCCGGCAGCAGCGGCGGCTGCAGCGGCATCAGGTGAGGGGCCTCCATGTTCCACTCCTGCACCTGGGCCACGAGGAGGGCACGAGTGGGAGGAGGCCCACGGTCACCCCCTGGAGCCTCTGTTCCCCGCTTCCGGGGCTTTTGGCCACCAGCAACCCCAAGAACTGCAGGGGACCCCCGTGTGCAATGCCCACCGGCCTGAGGGGTCAGTGCCCATCCCTGTCCCCGTGGAACACCTGCCAGAACTAGGCAGGTCACCGTGGTGACCCCCTCCCAACTTGTCACCCCAATCCCTTGGGAGCCATTCCTGGCTCTGCCCAGGCTGGAACCCACTCGGGAGGAGGATGGGGCTGGGTGGGCAGGGAGCAGCCAGGGCAGGTGTGGACCAGGGGCGTGCAGGAACACCCTGGGGACACTGAGGGACATGCCAGGAGTGCCCGGGACGTCCCTGGGCTGAAGCCTGCTCAGAGCATTCCGGGGCACCCTGGGGCATCCCGGGGGCACGGGGATATCCCGGGGCAGAGGTGCCTGGGGACATGCTGGGAACACACGGGCATCCCGGGTCAGCGGGGCATCCGGGGAGCACCGGGGCCACGGCGGGTCACGTCCCTGGGGACATCCCGGGGCATCCCGAGGGCACGTGGACATCCCGGGTCAGCGGTGCCCGGCGCATCCCGGGACGCACGGCCGTCCCGGGGCAGGGGGGTTCGGCCACGTCCCGGGGCACCGGGGCCACCGCGGGTCCGGTCCCCGGAGGCGGCGGGGCCCCGCGGGCCGGGCCGGGCAGCGGCGGGAGCGGGGCGGGCGGGGCGGCTCCGCCTGCGGCCGGTTCCCGGTGCCGGTGCCCCGGGCCGCGCTTACCTGGGCGGGCGCCCACTCGGCCATGGCCCCGCGGAGCTGGGCCGGGCCCCGGCGGCCGGGGCGGGGGCTGGGGCTGGGGCCGGGCGGCGGCGGCGAGCGCGGAGCGGGGCCGGGCCGGGGCCGGGAGCGGGGCCGCTGTCGGTGCCTGCGCACGGGCCGGGCCCCGCCGCCCCGCCGAGCAGCCACGGGCAGCCGGGGAATCGCATCCGCCTCCTCCGGGCTGGGCGGCAGCGGGCGGGGAGCGGCGGCAGCGCGGAGCGCCGAGCACTGCCGCCTACCGGCACCGGCAGCGGCTCCGCCACCGGCGCGGCCCCGGTACCGCCACCGCCACCCACACCGGCGGCTCTGCCGCCGGGACCGGCGCTGCCACAGTCCGCTGGCACCGGGTACCGGCACCTCCAGCACTGCCACCGCCACCGGCATTGGCACCGCTGTGCGAATCGGTCTCAGCTCTGCCACCAGCACCAGGCGCTGCGGGACATCACCGCTGCTGCCACCAGCCTGGGACACTGGACTGGACCCGCGTCCCGGGAGCACCGACCTGGGTGGCACCGAGGGCCAGGAGCCGTGGGGGACGGGACATGACCACCCACAGCAGGACCCCCGTCCTGGCCGCAAGACCCTCGTGCGGGGACATTGTGGGTTTGGGAACCACACCCGTGTGCTCATCCTGACCCTGGAACCCTTCGGGCTGGGCTGGTGCCAGGCCACAGAAAAGCGTTCCGGTCCCACCTTCCCGGGATTATCCCGGGAAAAGCTCCTCCAGTGCCTCGCTGCTCCAGGACCCGGGCATGGCGGGGCTCCCCCGGGCTGGACAGGGAGGGGGATGACCCGGCCCCGGGGAAGGGAGGGCAGTGGGACAAGAAGGGTTAACGGGCTGAGCAGCATCACGGGAGCCGGAGCAGCCATTTCCCTGCAGGATGTCATCGCTCAGTCCCCTCCAGCACTGTGTGCCCCACTGGGACACCCCGAGCTCCTCAGGCTTGCCCCATGGCCCCAGGGCTGAGCCTTTTTTCATCAAGACATTTTCTCCAATTTGCAATCCAAATATAAGTCCATTTCAATTTTCCTGTCCCTGTTCCCTGGGAGCAGAGCCTGACCCCTCCTCGGCTGTCCCCTCCTGTCAGGAGCTGTGCAGAGCCACAAGGTCCCCCCCTGAGCCTCATTTCTCCAGGCTCAGCCCTTCCAGCTCCTTCAGAAACCTCTGAGGCTTCTTCATCTCAGCCATGGATTCACCTGCTGCCAGCACACACGTGGTTTGCTTGGTTGATTCCCCAGATTTTCCAAACATCTCTTACCACGCAGGTGCTATTTCCTTGGGAATGTCACATCAGAAGCTTTGCTCCCAGGCCAGCACCTGCTGAAGATCCCACCCCTTGTGGCAGTGGGCAGTTGAAGCTGGGTCTGACACAGCAGCTCTGAACCCCTCAAGAGTGAGGGGTGCTGAGGCCTGGAGCATCCCACGGGATCCAGGGGTCAGGAGAGAGAGGAACATCCCCTCTGTGGGAATGGAGCTGTATCCCAGTCCAGGGAGCAGTGCAGGATGGCCGAGCTGTCAAACCACATCCTACCCTGGAGCATCCCCGCCTGGAGAGGGACCGGGGACAAGGCAGGGAGGGACAGGACACAGGGAATGGCTCCCACTGCCAGAGGGCAGGGATGGATGGGAGATTGGGAATTAGGAATTGTTCCCTGGGAGGGTGGGCAGGCCCTGGCACAGGTGCCCAGAGCAGCTGTGGCTGCCCCTGGATCCCTGGCAGTGCCCAAGGCCAGGCTTGGAGTAGCCTGGGACAGTGGGAGGTGTCCCTGCCATGGCAGGGGTGGCACTGGATGATCCTTAACATCCCTTCCAACCCAAACCATTCCGGGATTCTGTGAGGAATAAAAGCAAAGCCAACCCCAGAACTTCACTTATGAGAAGGAAATAATGAGAAGCCAGTGCCAAAAGGCTGGCTTTTTGGGACATTATTCCTGTACCTAGGATGGCCAGGATGCTTTGGGACCAAGTGCATTTTCCCAGTCCTGCTCAGAACTCCTGGAACTCCAGCACAGCACCAGCTGGATGTTCTCTGCTGCTCCTCAGGGGCTGCTGAGCCTGGAGACCGTTCCAGTTGGAGTCTGTGACTGAGGACACCTCTCCAACTGGAGGCAACACAGTTTCCCTCTTGGCACGCAACTGGAATATTCAAAAATGCTGAAAACTACCAGCATGTGGGGAGAAAACACAAAATTTGCATGTGCTCCCTCCCCTCTCCTCTCCCCTTCTCCGTCCTGCATTTCTGCTTCCCAGAGGAACCTTACCAACACATTGTACACACATTTTGAATACACCCAGGGTTTTTTTCCCCCTAGAATTTCAGAAACCAAAGCATCATCTCACCCCACAGGAAAATATGGGGTCAATATAGGAATAGAACCCAAAAATAGAGTTAGTTCTGCAGGTATAGTAATGGGAGAACAGTTAAAGTAGGGGAAATAATGCCTGGAATTGGTTGCTTCAAACATCATCTTACAATCCCATCCCAAATTCTTCATTTTTCATCTCTGAAAACTTCCACTGTTTCTCTGTGGTACTCTGGATACTCTCCAGCACATGCTCCAAGGAGGAGATGGATGGAGCATGGAAAGAATGACAGGAATTACCCAGGTCCTGATCAATGACCATTAGGCCAGCACCAAATGAATCAGAACTCGATTCATGTTTTAGGTTGGTATACAAGATGTAACCAAAAACATGTATTCTATAAAATCAGCTGGGGTGGTTTTCTTTCTCTCTTCCAGGACTCATCCTCCCTCCAGGAGATCTATCCGTGGCCACTGAGTGTCCCTGCACGGCTGAGAAAATTCCATCATCCATGGGGAGATGCTCTGCCCAGGGGAGGAGCCAAACATTCCTACCTGGATACAATCTGACCTGGGAACAGCACAGCAGCCTTTGCCCCCTGCATTCCCAGAGGAGC